GGGCGGGACGGGCCCAGGCCCGGCCCCTGCGGCGGGGGCAGGCAGCACTGCTGTGCCCGGGGGGTCAGGAGTTGTGACCTTAAGCTGGCTGACGGCATTTTTCTGGCCCCGCCATCCCGAAGTTGGTGTTTTCAAACAGAAGTTTTCGCCCCCCATTCTCTGGAAATCCAAACAGAAAGGAAAATTCCCAGGAACTTTTTTCCCCTGGAAAGCCACCAAGCAAATAAAGTCCCATTTGCTCAGATGAGTTAGTAATGACACAGGCTTTGCAAACACAGTTGACAATAGTCAAGGTTTTGCAGAGCGCAACCTTTATGTGTACAAATGCCATCGGGGGTGGGTGAAATACCGGTGCGGGAGCGTGCTCTCCCTCCGTGTGCTGCTCACGGGTCACCACAGCTCTGCAAAATCGCTCCCTCTCACCTGGCTGTGAGCGCACTGTGGCCTCTGCAAGTTGAGACCCATCACATGTTGAAACCAGACAGTCTCATAGGAAAACAGAAGTCCTGGTTGAAGTCCACGCTTTTAATGTTTTGCTTCATTCCACATTTGAATGTGTACATCTTAAATGCAAACGATCGAACTGAGCACCGCTATCAAATGCACACTTCTAATGTGTGTAGCCTTCTTCCAAACTCTCTTTAAGATGGGCACTTGCAATGAAGTCAAGACTCAGGTCATGCCTGCCTTTTGCGCTGACGAGTGCTGCCAAACTGCTCCCTTGATGGTGACCAGCTGCTGTCTCATGGGTTATACTTAGACAAAACACTTTTTGAGGGACAACCTGCCTCTTACCCTTTTTGTGTATGGTGATTATCACAATGGGTGTCCATGGCTAGGATCTGAGCTGATGTTATAATGTATATAAATAATAATCCCAACAGTCTTGTTTTCAAATCCCCAGTTATAAAACATCACAGACCACAGATGCAGTGACTTGTCTCAAATCCCACAGATGTCTCTGGCAAAGCGCAGAACTGGGCTGTGGTCTCCCATATCCCGCTGCAGTAAGCAAACTCCGGAAACCATCTTTGGTTTCTAATCAGAAAATGGAGGGTGTTCTCCAGAGTAAGGATCTGCAACATTAAGGGCTGATGACTGGGGCATTTAAAATAAGGCTGTTCTTTAAAAGGAAAGGTCTAAGAAAGTATCTTCAGACACAACCCACATCAGGATAATCAGACTGAAATCAGAGAAGAATGTTAGCTGGTGCCACAAACAAGCAAGTATCCGGACAGCCGCAGTTGTTTGGCCTACACTAGAAAAAAATATTTACAAACTTTGGCAATAAAATCAAAGCTGACAATGGTCATCTGCTTCAGGGTCAAACCTTCCACTGGCTTTTGCGGCATTTTGTTCTGTATCCAAATATAACCCTACCATGGTCTTGAATGACTGGACTACTTGAGAGATTTTTGTAGAACCTAGGGGAATAAAACCACTAAAAGTACCCTATCCTTGGGGAAATGGACTTTTTCTTCTTGTCTGTATAGGCCATATTACACTGCGTAGGCTACCTAAACTTCAAAATCTGTACGAGTGATTATGCTCACTGAGCATCACCCATAATGGTAAGATTTCTAAGTGTACATATTAGTTCTGCTCAACCTTTATCAGAAAGCCTCTTCTGTTACAGTTTTGGTTAAAACCCCCTCCCCTTCAGAAAGGTCACAAAGTCCTTGGTATAAATTATGTAAAATAATAAGCACTGAACCAATTTTGGCACCACCATCAGTAATTGGTGGGATGAATGAGTACTTGATTTGAGGCCCCCTTAAGTGCTGACCTGTTTACAAGCCACACTTTATTACCAAACATACCGGGAATTCGGCAGTAGGGAAGTCTGAATCTGTTCAGGACTAGTAAGGCGAATACACTCTTTCTATCCTTGTCTCCTTTCAGACTACAACTGCCACAGTCTGGCTTTCTCATGAAATTGTACAAACTGGAATACAAACTCAGAGGAGAGGAGAACTCTTACCAGCAGCCTGGCACGGCTCTCTGATATGTAGGGGGGAGGGTTTCACAGCCAAAACTGCAGCTGTTCTCAGTTATCAGGACACAATGGGATCCCACAGCAACAGGGTTTCCAGCACTGAATGTCACCCCTTGGAGTCAGAAGGTGCAGGTGAGGTCACAGAAGGGTAGTGGTGGTAGGTCGGGGGGACAGGGTGGCCGCAGGCTCCACAGGGCTTTTTCATGACATCTGGCCAGCCCCTGCAAACGGGAAAAGGGATTCTCCCATTCATAAGCAGTGTAAATCAAGAACACAGATCTTACAAGTGGCACCATTCCTCCTGGAGATGTTTTAATCGTAGCCAAGCAGCTGCGCTTTCTCTGTGTAGGTTTGAGGAACTTACAGGGTCTAGGAGGTGGCCGTGAACTCCTCATTTACAGAAGAGAAAAAGCAAATGAACCCACTGCTTGCTGGTGGTGACATGGAGAATGAGTCTGAGGAGGATGCAGGTGCGGTGTTTAGCTAATAGCAAACTCACTTAAAAAATAGTCAGAAATGGCCAAAGGAAAATTGCCAGCACCCAAGAGGGACTACTGTCGCAGCAGGCTGATCACCAGGTGGGAAGGCTTCCCTTCCCGAGGCCGGGCAGCAATAAGGAGAACGGTGGTGAACGGGGATCCAGGGTGCCAGTGCCCACAGACAGGAACTGCCACCCAGGAGCAGCTTGGAAAAAAACAAAATGCATCAGAAGAGGGCTTGCCAGTACCAGCTTCCAGGCAGCTCCACCCAGCTGCCCCTAATGCCCGCAGGAGATGTTGGAGCTCAGCACCTTGTGAGACCAGATCCTGTTTGAGCCCTCCATAGCCCAGAAGGACAGGCAGGACGTGAAGGGCAGAAGAGTTTTCTGAACCTGCTGCTGTCAGGTGGTGCTTGTACACAGCAGAGTCAGGCACCGGGTCTGCTCGCAGCATTTTGGCCTGACTTGCTAGCTTAGCGTAACGGTTCCTCTCAAAGTTCAAAGACTACTTTGGCCTGTCACTTAGTCATTAGAAATTAATTTCTTATTTTCCTTCATAATGCAATTACTGTACGGGTCAGATATGTGGGACAACTTCTCTCCTTGGTTCTTGTTTTTCTGTATTTAAGTAGAGTATAATGCAATTTATGAAGTGTTACATAGTAATTTCCCCTAATGGTTGCTCTACTAGATGAGATCCTTTATCAAATATTTTCCATTGCTTCAAAATAACATTTGTCTAAATATCCTTTCTTATTTTTCTGTAAAGGTAGCTCTGGGGGATTTTCTGATCCAGCAGTAATAATTTATTGCCTATTTGGGATTAGTCCCTTTTAGCTAGCTTCTCTGTAAACAAGGTTGCTGTTGTCAGCTATGAACTCTTGAAACTTTCACTCCTTAAGTGGGATCTGAAAAAATTAATTACCTGCTATCAAGCCCAAATGATTATATTGAAATTAGTATTTCTCATGAGTTTTTGACAGTATTAACTTAAAAAATATTATCACTAGGAAATACCTGGTCAGTTAATAGTTGGTTGTCATTTTTCTTTACATATTGGCTTAAATAATTGTGGCTAAAATGCTGGTTGAATTTGACTGACAGTAGCAGCAAGGAGAATGGTGTAATTGTTAATCCTACCCTATTTCAGAGGCAAAATGTTGTCAAAATGTCTGGTTGTTTTGCTTTTTTCTTGGTCTAAATAATTTATATTAGGACGGAGAAAAAAAATCTCTATTTTATTTATATATTTTTATTTATTTTTTTTATAATTTCTCTAGAAGTCTTTTGATATCCACAGTGGCATGACTTAAAATAGGAGATAAAGATTTGATACCCTTGACTAGATGACCAAGCTAAGGCACACACATTTTTTTCCAAACCACAATAAAATTAATTTCTCAATTTTTCAATAAATGACAACATTTAGAATATTAATTCTTAAATACTTTGCTTAGATACAAAATCACGTCTCGTAGCTGTTTCCTCATAAATTCCTTCAACACCTAATACTCCCAAGTTAGTATAATTATATAGTTTGACACATCACCAAATTAACTAATTCCTTACAGAATGTAAAAAAAATGCTTATATCTGAGCATTTACATTAGTATCATTTTGTCTCCATACTGCAAAATTCTATGTTCCATTTTATGAGTTGCCCCAGTCGAGCTGTTACTCTGATGTATTTCTTATGTCAGACATTCAGAATGAAAGAAGTGAGGACAACCTTGGTAGCTTCCTTTCACAGCTGAAATTCCTTAGTATATATCAATTAGATTTTATCCTGGCAGAGAAGGAGAACAATTTATTAAAATCTTCATCTGACCTTTACATCCATCACTAGTGATTCTAAGAGAGACCACTTCATTAGTTTAGCGTCACGAACTAGGACCTTGTTGCAATGCTAGGGAAAAAACAAACATTTTCTCTGATCCAGAGACCTATTGAAGTATAAATTGCTAGTGTGATTTATCGAATATTTGTACAACATAAATGAGGGGAGAATATAAAGCAATGTCCCCAGAGAACAGACATTGTTAACCTAGCATGAGAGAAGGGATTTGCAGTTATCTGAATGCATTCCCTCACAAGTCATACAGCAAACCATGGAGTCAACTCCCCTCTTAGCTCCTGGTTTGTGACTGGTACCAGCTGTGCATGAGGCAGGCTGACCAGAAAGCTGTGTCTGCAGCCCCAGCACCTGGGAAAAGGTGATAAAGGAGTCCCCAGACCCATCACTTTCCATTGCATTGGTTTTAACACCAATAATCATGATTCAATGCTTTTCAAATTTCTGCTTGAATAACAGTATTATCATCTGTATCAGTGCTAACTTTTACAGCTCCACAGGGATGCAGGGACCACTTCTGGATCTACCTCAGAAGGCTCAGTCCACACACTGCAGGACTGGCTGATGTACTGGGCACATGACAGCCATGTTATCGGGGGATGATGCAGTCTGGATGGGTTTTGTATAACAGTCTGTTCCACAGAGTTGGAAGTTTATTTTTATCAGAATGTCTAGCATTGTAGAGCCATTAAGCAAAGAGGATCAGTGGGTACTGTCATAATGTCCCAAATCTTTGGTTCTACTTGTCTCGTGAGTTCTTTATGTGGAATTTAGACCTATTTTTACCCTTTCCTTTGTCTTTCTTGCACTAAAGTAATGCAAGTAAACCCATCATTTGAACAAATAAAGTCTGGCAGAAGGAAAAGGTCTTAATGAAGGAGCTGCAGCTGCAGGGCTGGTTGAAATGCAGTGATATGGGTGCCAGCTGGCCAGTCTTTCCCTCACATAGGTCTGAATGAACAGGCAAACTGCAAGCTCCACGTCACGCATCGATGCTAAGTGACACCCAAGAAAGGTATAATATTACAGGTCAATACCCTGGAGCTCTAAAGGGAAATAAGGAGTAAGGGAAGAAGGTAGTAAAAGCAGTGACAGGGAATGAAAAGCAAGATTCAGAGTAGGAAAAAAATATGTATTATATTATTAGCCAGAAATTATTTTGGCAAAATTACTCTTTTTTTTTATGCATTTATTCCTCTTAAAAAGGAATTTTCCAAATTCTCTTTCTCTCTAACTATAAAATAAATTATGAATTGTGGGCAAGAGAAGCTGTTTCACTTCCAGTGGGTCTAGTTACACTCAGTCCCAATATACAATAGCATTCAAATGCTTTCTTTTCTGCCATGCTTGAAGAGTACTACCAAGCATTCCCAGTCTGATCGCAAAGTCAGTCAACAGTGTCCTGCCTGTGCCTGGGGAAGTGTGAATCAGTTCAAGAGAACTAGGAAGAACTGGCATGGGTTTGGCTTGTAGGTTTGTGGGGAAATGGGATGAAGAGGGGGAAATTCACTTTGCCTGGTGGGCTCAGAAATTGAGAAAGGGGAGAAAGGCAGCTCATGAGGGAACGAAGACCTAATGCGGGATAACTGTGAGTCCCCCGCACATGGGCTACAGAATTTGGGGAGGCTCTTTCCAAAAGCTGCCAAGCCACAGCCGGTCTGTAGACCTGCAGCCCCAGAGTGAGCTTATCCCCTCACCAGCGCCAGCACTGCATGCGTACAATGCACAGAGAGCGGTGGGCACGAAGCAGGGCTGGGGAGGGAGTGCCTCCGCAGCATGTTGAAGAGGGGTGCAGGCTTCAGTGAGAGCAGTGGGAGGTCTATCACATCCAAGGAGTCACATCTCTGCTGGGCTTGCGTTGACAAAATGAATCTTTTTGGTTTCATGGCAGACCAGAATGAAGAGACGTCCAAAATCAGTGAGTCTCCGGAGTCAGTGTCGCTGGCTGACACCTCAGCAGAGAAGGCCGCACAAGGCTCTGACACTGACCTAGAGGTTGAAGGTGAGTGTTTTCTGACCATCTGCCCTCACTAGCCTTTCCCCTTACAGAACTGTACCTACCAACTGGTATGTATCCGAAATAGAGACCAAGGGCACAAGCCTGCCAGGGTCCTGACAACCACATGTAATCTGGCGATTGATAAAGCCGGGGGTGGGGGTGGGGGTGAATGTCCCTCTAAGAGCTCTCCCTTTGATGTCAAGCATTTCCTTCACCTGCTTTCTAACCACCATGGCTATTCCTTTGTTCCTTCTTCTCTCCTCTAGTCCTTAATAACCAACACCACTGGAGCAGCCCACCGCTTAGGGAGCAGGAGCAGCTAGCAGAAACCAGGGATGGGACTGAGGCCCTGTTTGTGTGCTCCTGATGAAACACTGCATAGCAATTGCAGTCTGTGTACCATAGGTTTGCCACAACTGTCCCTAGACTTTTCTGGTGGCTCTCCTACCATCTTCTGCCTGATGAAGTCAGTCCTCTGGCTAAACAAGTCTCGCACTCATTTTTGTAAGAGTAGGATTCGTCCATAATTTAGGATGAGAACTTTTTAACTTGTTATAAATGGAAGGAAAATCAAAAGCCATAAGAATGCAAGAACAAAAGACTGTTTTGTTAGAGGCCTCAGATTGAACTGGAAAATGGCTTTGATGAGAGGGGAATTTGTCTTGAGGTCAGACCATTGAATGCATATAAGAACATGGAGAAATATGAGCTCTAAGTATGGGGTTTGATGAAGGAATTCCAAATGACAGGTTTTTGTGGAAATACAGCCGCCAGCTGCACTGGTATGTCTCACTGCAGCTGTGTCAACAACACCCAATGGCCAAGATGAGAATGCTGGGATTCTTTCTGCTGGTTGTAAGCCAAAATGTTCTGAGCTGCCCTAGCTCTGCTGGCAATATCAGCTGCGTGCTTCAATTAAAATTAAAAGAAAAAAAAAAGGATGAAAATGTTTTTGCCTGATGTCAAGAATTCTCAATTACACCAAGAAAGGTTTAGTCACATTGCAGATTGGTGAGAGCTGCAGCAAGTCACTGGATGCCAGATGGAGAAGCAAGGAGGATACATTAACCCTTGGATGTCTGGGATAAAGGGATGGGGAGAACCAAGGGACGATAACCCTTTAATAGTAAAACCCTACTGTCATTGCATAGTGTTACTTAATTTTATTAAGTTACTTAATTTATTTAAAAGAGGAGGGAGGACACTGAATGCACCACTCATCAATATACTTTTTCTCTGTAGATCCTGAGAAGGCCTTTGTGGGCATTACAGGCGCAGAGCTGTACTTGGAAGCATGCAGGCTGATGGAGGTGGTGCCTGTCTCACACTTTATTCAGAACTTGGCCAAGCCTTACATAAACCTGAACCACCATGGTCTAGGACCCAAAGATGTCAAAGCCATTGCTATTGCTTTGGTGGTGAGTAGCCAGTAAGAGTGGGGCCACTGTTCTCAAGAACAATAGACATTTTAGGCCTCTCTCAGGCCTGGAAGCCATCACTGAATACACAGTGTGGGAGAAAAAGTCATGTATCTTCCCCACAGGAGCTCTGAGCATCCCTAATGTTTCTAATCCCCTGCACAGGAAAGTCTTGTGTGGCAACTGCTGGCCTTTGCTGGAGTTACCCCCAAGAGCAAACTGATGCTTTTCCATGGGACACAAGTCCCCAGTGCTCCTAATCCCTACAGGGCCAGAGGTAGGGCTGGAGGGATTGGTATCCCCTACTCTGGGTTCTGCATAGAGATGTGCTACACTCAGCAATGGATAGGGTGAAGATGCCTGAATTGGAGCTTGGATCTGAACCTGGGTCTCCAGGCTGGCAGAAAGCAACAGAAAGTCCTACCCACTCAAAACATCTCCAAAAAAACATCTCTTTTGTATGCCAATTCCCAGTGTCTGTGTCCAATGTCTGTTGAACTGAGGAAACTATCCCCTTCATTAACTTTTCAGCAGTTTTTTGTGTGTCTTTGTTTACCTTTGTGTCTTCCCAGTCCAACGCAACCGTCACCCATCTAGAGTTGGAAGACAACTGCATTCTGGCAGAAGGAGCCATATGCATAACAGAGATGCTACGAGAGAATTCCTCCCTTCAAGAACTGGTACCCAGTCTGGTGTAGTTTGTAGCCAAAATTATTGCTCACCAAGTTCAATCATCTGAAAGAAAAACAATTCATTCCATTATGATTTTAACCAAATAATCATTGTTCCCATGCAAAATCATTCACATTCTGAAAGTCATAATATTTTATGCTGCTCTACTTTTAAAAAGTACAAGCTTCTGAAATGCAGAAGTGTGCATGTGATGGCAGTCTGTGAGTCTGGAACTGCTTTCTTCATTAGCAGATGTGACAATAATTACCATAACTAAGTCTTTCCGGTTCATGCTTAGCCAATGGAAAAAATGTTTTGGTCAGGAACTTTCATTCTCCGATATGACATGGGGAAACTTTTCTAAAGAGCATAAGGGAATAATGCAAAACCTTCAGATATGAACTGGTTCCTTCATCTGAAACTGGGGTATACAAAATGCATTTTGATAGGCCATGGGATCTGTGTTACACTGGAATAAAAGATTCTTGGCCAAATGCCTCTTGGTTCACTGAAGACAAAGACCCATGTGAAACTGATGGCTCTAGGGCTTTATTCCTGTTAGGAAGGATACAGGGTTAAACCCACCTATAAATCACATGTTAATTACTGTCTGGCTGACATTTCTCATATTGCTCATCTTGCATTATTCCCTTGATATCTTGGGCATTAAGAAGACAATAGAGCTGGTTCATTCTTTGCACTCATCCTTCTTAACCTCCCTTCTCTCCTTCCAGAACATGTCCAATAACCACCTAGACACAGCAGGAGCTGAAGCCTTTGCCAGTTTGCTTTTGGATAACATGTCCTACCTCCACACTCTTCAGCTCTCAGGTGGGCTATATGCACCCAAACAACAATGGCAGTGGAAGTGAAATAACATGTGTTTCATTATGGTCTCTCATCCTGAGAATATTAGTCAGACTATGGGCAAAATCAATCTCTCAGCTATGTCTCTGACAGGAACCCAGAGTAACAGTGGAAATCTAGATTTATAGTGATGTGATTAAATATTTGGCCTGCTCAACCTCCAGCACCTCTGAAAACCAGTCCTTTATGAGAAACTTAGATAATTGCTGGAGTGGCTCCCACATCTTGGAGTAACTCTACTCTATGGAGCAAAGTGGAATAGTGACTAACTTCTTTACAGCCAGATATGGGCCATGATTAACTGGAGGTTCCACCTAAAAGCACAGCTTCCTGCAGACCCCAGCACAGCACCAAGGGAGAGATCAGCTCACTGTTAATACACTTTTCTTCCCCAGGAAACAACTTTGGAGAGGAGACTGCAGCATACTTTGCTGAGGCATTAATGGTGAGTTACCTGAAATCCAAGGTCATTTGCAGCCCTGGCTGTGTAACAGACTCTCCTCATCTTGAAGCTGCTACTCACTTGGCATGATTTCACTTGGCAATACCCATATGATTTCCTGGCATAATTCTGCCGATTGCCTCTTGCTTACTTCAGAAATGACAGAGGCTGGGAGGACGCAGAGCAGGATGGACTGTGTTAACATTTTCTCAGGACAGCTGTGCGAGTCTGGCTGAAAAACAAACCTTCAGGACTGTGTAACAGAACAACATCTGAGTGACAAAAAATTTTCAAGAAGCATAAGTAATCCAACTTCATATCATTTTTCAAATCTCCAGTAAAAATAAGACACTTGACTTCTCTGATTAGTTCCTGTCCCAAAGCCTTTGCATCATCTGGCACCACCAGAAGCTGCCCTGAAGCAAGGCCTTGACCTGATATCAGAAAGTGCTCTTGATCAGGGTACAATGGTGGGAGTGAAACAGGGGCAGGAACAGAGTTGCAGGATGTGTTGCAGGCCAGACGTGAACTGTGTGAGGGAAGTTTGCACAACCCAAAGTCCCATTGCTTTTGCTGTTTTAGGATAATCACTGTGATGTTATATGCCTGACAAAGCTTTGTTTTGGGACACGCAGTGCCGCAATCTCCATGCTGATGATCTCCCATGCGCTGAAGATTTCAGTGTGTCTGATATCCCTCTGTTTCATCCTCATGTGGGGGCCTTGGCATGGCATCTGGTTGCAGCTGGCTGGAAGATCTCATTGTCTCTGCACATTTGTCTCTCTGCAGGGCAATTACCAAGTGAAGGAGCTGGACCTCAGCCACAATGAGTTCTCTGAGAAGGGAGGACAGCTCCTGGGACAGATGCTTGGTAACTTAATTTATTACTCCCGCAAAGCGAGGATGATGTCAGCACAGTGAACACGTATTTCCTTCTCCAGCAAATATGCCCTATGACCTGGTGGGTAGTACAAAAGACAGGGCGTCCAGATTTAGAGCTTCCTGCATGGTCCACAGGCTCACCCTCATCACCACAGGTGACTCTGGCAACTATGACTAATGTATCAGAACACAAACACTGGATGAGAAACCACAGTAACAGCAGTCCATGTCAGAGGGAAGGGAGCTGAAAGAGAAGTCCCTTAGGGAGTATAAAGCAGAAAATTACATTTTACTAAAATCTAATAGGATCAGAACTGTTGTTTGTTTTAAGCTTTTGATTACAAAGTTCAGGAGTGATTTCAATTTTTCTTAATGGTTTGAGCCATTGCACAGCAAGCAGCGAGGGAAACAGATTAGGAAGAAATAAAATTCAGCTGCCTAATTTATCTGTTCAGACAAAGTGAGATCCAGCGTGTGCTAGGAGAGAGAAAGCAAACAAAACAGTTACAGTCTTTCAGTAATCTCAGGTGCTATTAGTGCACTGGGAAAGACTTGCATGAATATCTGACAGCTCTTCTTCCCTCAGTATGTCCAACATGCCTGCGACCATAATGGCCACAAGCATGTGCTATGAGCATCCAGTGTTCCTTGAGCATTTCAGTAACACAATGCCTTCAGTTTAATTAACTCTTTCCTTCTCCTGGTTGACTATTTCCACTGATATGTTTCTCTTTCTAATTACAGTCCATGTCTTTAAAAGATGGATCAATTAAAACTGCAGTGAGGACAAGGCACTGTGCCCCTGCCTTGGACAAGCCTGCAGGCAACACAGAGATCAGTACTAAAACTTGTGACTTTCCTAGCCCAGAAAAAAGCCTCTCCAAAATCAAAGGTCTTACAGCTCTTCTCTCCTTCCAGCTCACTTGAGGCAGGAGCAGCAGAGATTACTGCAGAATCTGTTACTTTTCTGTTTTGTTTCTTAAAGGAATATTTTTAAGTCAGCTAAACTCACCATCTGCCTCCATCCAACCTCCATCCATGACAAATCTGGATGAGAAATTCTTTCTGAGAATGAAAAGCAAGTGTTGGCAGCAAGTCCTACACCTCCCAGTGTCACAGTAGACACAGATGAATTCGCACATACCCTGCTCTAAGTAGAACTTACACCGTGAGGTGTGCTATGCATGTGAATTGGCACTGGCACATATACAGCTGGGCACATTCCTCTCTTCTGCTAATCAAACATAGGCAGAGTGAATCTTGATATTTTAGATGTGGCAAGGAGAAGCCAGCCATTTTTCACAGTGAGAAAAACAGTGTCTATTAATATAAGAAATCCTCCCTCTCTCTCTCTTCCTCCTTCACAACTTTTTCTTTGATTAAGCCAGAAAAAAAACTGTGCTCCCTTTCTGCTTGTGATCAACAGCCCATTCTCTGTTCTTTGGGTGCTCTGGACAGCAAAGACTCTGTAGGTACAGGTTCCTCCTACTGCAAACAGTGAAGGCTGTTGCTGAACCCCCAGCAAACTTTCCCTTAGTCCCTAAGTGGGTCAGCAGCTGTGTCCAGACCACTCTTCATGAGCTCACGTCTCAGTTTCTCTCTCCTAGCCAGCAACACAGCACTGGAGATTCTGGACCTGAGCTGGAACCACCTGAGGAGGAAGGGGACAGTAGCACTGGGCACAGGTCTCAGGGTAGGAACACCCCCTGTTTTGTGATACACTTCACAGCGATTATTACCAGAAGCTCGTTGAAACACTGATTGGGAACTCACATCCCTGAGGTCTGAGCAGGATTCAGTAGCTCTAGCAAGGTTCATTCTACTGACAGTGGCAGTCAGTGCCAGGAAAAAGACTAAAGCAGTGAGTAGGTCTGGTGACTTACGTGGATGGAGAGACCCTGGTGACATCGCAGAGATGTTGGATTCATTGGGGCTCCTGAGTGTGACTTGAGAGGTGCTCCTGTCTCAGCCAGGCAAGAAAGGGCAGAGTGGTACAAAAGATGGGCATGCAGTAGCTAAGATCCCTCTTCTCTCCCTGGAGGGCAATGGTGCACTGAAGATACTCAACCTTTCTTGGAATGGCATTGGCAACGAGGGAGCACTGGCCCTAGGAGAAGCTCTCAAAGTCAATAATGTGCTGGTTCACCTGGACATCAGCAACAACCAGATCAATGACGAGGGAGCCAAGAAGCTCTGCAGGGGCCTTGAAGTCAATGGAAAACTCAAAATCCTAAAGGTAAAATAAAGCCAAGGCAGGGCTGGAGGAATAAATGGAGGGAGTAGAAAAATCTGAGTCAGGAGGGGCAGAAGACAGAGGTGAACTGTCTGAGCTAGAACTGGAGGAAATGAGTGTTGCTGTGGGTTGAAGGTGAGCAGAGCAGAAGGAAATTCTATCCCATTAATTCCTTCCAGGGCAACTAAATTGCACTGTTCCCCCCCAAAAATCCCCCAGCGGGCTGGCTTGGCATAACTTCACACCCATTATCACCTCAAAGTGGTTGATTGTTGTCATGTCTAGTCTCAGTCAAGTGAGAACCTAGGCATTCAACATGTCTAGCAGAGAGCCTAGGCATTCAACAGGTCTGCATATATACATAAAATGTAGTTGTGAAGGTACACAGGTACATGTAATACGCATTTCAACCTAAGGCAGAGGTTCACACTGAAGTTGCAGGTGGGCAAGAGTGTGCCTTTCTCAGTGTGTTAATAATTTGCTAAAAATTTATTCAAACATGGGATAAACTGTCATTGCCACATCAGGGCAATGCCACAGCACTACCTAAGGGAGAGGAGTATTATCAAGCCCTGGAAAAAGAAAGCCAAAACTGCCTTCTAGTAAGCTAGAGATCAATAATCCTGGAAAGGGCAAAACTGAATGACCAGCCAAGCTGGCTTCAGAGGTTAGGGTTGAGAGCTTGCGTGTCTTCTCAATCCACGATCATTCTCTAGGAATTCAGCTCAGAAAAGTCAGCTTGCTTACAAGCTGCGTTCTCAGCTAGATCTAACATAACCATCCTGAGAGCCTGCAAATGGCAGCACGGTGGTTGAGGGGCATCTTTAAAGCTGTTCATGTAGGCCTATCTTTGGACACCTCTGTCCTTGTAAATCACTGCAACCACACAAGTCTTTATGACTGCTGCTTTAGATTATGTAAATAAATGTGTCTGTCTGCCTTGCTCTTAACCTGGCTTGAGGTAAAGTCACTAGCTAACACCAAGGCATTCCTCTCTCTGTAGCTGCACAGATTGTATTAGGAGTTGATAACATAAAGGACTTAAAGGAGGACATATCTTCTGCTGGCCAGTGTTAACCAAGAAAGTTTTCTTTCAAATAGCAGGAGTGGGGACTGCACATGAAGTCCAGGGTGGGGGAGAGGTGATGTTCACACACTAACAGATGCACATGGCAATGCCAACCCCATAACGCCAGATACCTGGACCTTGTAGGCCAGAGGCAGCCGATCAGCCTGAGCTCTGATCTGCTGTGCTGCCAAGAGTCAAGGGTATGGGAAATGTCCCGAGGGGCATACCCCCATCCAGAGGGATCCTACGAGCAAGCACACATTCAAATGCAGCCCATTGCCTCAGCCTCTCCCCATCACATGACTGAACATGATCCACACCACATACTCCTGCATGGCAGATGTAAGGGACCTGATATGTAGAATTTCACACAGAAGCTGAGAAGGCAACTCCATTGGGAAGTTGCATTGCAGAGTTTAGTGGGACAGAGACAAGAGATGGTGAGATAACAGACAAACCCATAGAAAGGGACCACAGTTACTCTACAGCCCTGCTGAAAAATGGGAAGAAAGGATCATCCTTGAGGCTACAGCATGCCTTCTGCCAGGCATGAAATCCTCATTCTCACCAAGTCTGGATCTATGTCTCTTCTTCCACAGATGGCCAGTAACCCCCTGACCATGGAAGGTGCCACTGCACTACTCACATCTGTCAGAAAGAACCCCAAATCCATGATGGAGGAGATCAACATTTCAGTAAGAGCTTATGTGCTGGAAAGCCTCCAGGACCATACACTATACATTTTTAGGAACTGGGTGGATCACAGAGCTGCCCCCTTCCAAAACTGTTTTGAGACTTGCTGTATCATTTATGCACAGCCATTAATAAAAAGAGGCTACTATTTGACAGCCCTTCTAGAAGCCACATGGAAATTATAGCGCTTTGGTTTAGCTCTTGAGAGGTGCCTGTAGTATCATCACATGTCACTCCCTTCCATTTTGCAACAGCAGAACAAGAACAAGGAGTGAATTCCCACTGGAGGATAAATTCTCTTCATCCCCGGAGCTGTCTCCCTCCAGGGTAGCCTAAGATGCTAGATACTGTGAAGTGCTTTGATACCTTGTCAGTATGTATGAGGAGTAGAAAAAGATGGATGCTTCAAGGCATTGAAAGCAAAGCAATGTTATTTAAAAAAACAAAACCCAAAAACTCAAAACCAAAAAAAAACCCCAAACCCCAACATTAAAAGGCTGGTGTGGAAGGAAAAAAAATCAAAGAGGCCAAATCTTAGTATGCCAGGAGCACAACACATATTGTTGTAACCTCATGTGCTGCTTCTAAAATGGGAGACACAGAAATGCTTCTGAGCTCCTGCATGAGGGCAGGGATTGCATTGCAGACCGACACTGGGGAGAGACCTGGGCACACATCGGTCCACTCCTGGGCCTCCTATCAATCCACTGGTGCTTCATGGGAGCAGTGACAGAAGGTGTCAGTGGCCTCAGGGCCCTCCGTCCACCTTTGGGAGCACCGTGATTAAAGGAAAGAGCATTTTCACAAAGATTAGGTTTGGGACTTGGAACATAAGTAATACGTTCACACTTGAAACAAGCTAAAAAAAAAGTTCATGAGCAGTTTTGGAGACTCAGTGTAATGGGTTGTATCTAAGTTACATCTGCATGTGTGTCTTTGTCCTTTGGTTACTGTATTAAAGAAAGAAACTAAAACAAAGCAGAATAAATAATATTCATCTATAGTCTTTCCTGAGAGTATTGAGGGCTTTCAACAGAGATCATCTAAAGAACAGGCGTTCCTCTAGGGCAGACAATTTTTCCTGCATAAATTAAGATCAAAGAGAATCATTTGCCCAGTCTGCAAGGAGTCAGGCCTCATTCTGCAAAGGAAAACTAAAATGGGCCATGTGGGAGTAAAGGACTTCATTACAGTATACATGGTTCTGCTAGTTTTATTACTAATAATCTAAACAATTCATAAACTTGGAAAGAGTAATGTATTTTAGCTAAATTCTGAGAAATTAAAGAAATTATTGAAATGCATTTCTTTAAAAGGAGGCACTCAAGAAATTCTGAGGCAAGGAGTTAATTAACATTAAGAATCTTCAATCCAACCTAAATCTCACTATGAATTTCTGCTTTTTAGGGTTAACAGATGCTTTCTTCACCTCACCCTTCAAAAAGTCTAAATTACCTGGCATTTCACAAGATAAATGGTCAACGGCATAAATTCACAATGATATTTTGGTATCCCAATCAAATGGTTGTAGGCAAACATGTAATCTGTCTGACAGACTTCATTCCACATGTAATGTAGGGAGTCTTGCATTTCAATTCAGAGTATTTGCAAATGTATAGCTCCAAAGATCTTACACTGTCTTAAACCTTTAAAAATTAGTAAAGGTTTTAATATTTTACAGGAAACTAAAGGGAAGACATAAACAAAAGCCTCTTCTGCCCCTTTTCCCAGTGGTAAATGCTTATCTTGACTTTTAAAGAATGAACGATGGATCTTAACCTTCTAAAAAGAAGCTATAAGAATGCATTGGGAGACTTTGTAAATAAACGTTGAGAAAAATTATGGTGCTTGATGCCTTGGGAACTTCCCGCAATGACAGAAAACAGAAGCTTTCATGAATTTCCAGAACTGCCTTGAAATTTCCAGCAATTAAGTATATTATAAACTAACATAATACATGAACAATTCCCCTGTCATCATGGGTATGAACAAAACCATAATCATGTTTTTAAAAGATCAGTCAAGGCAAAGGCAAATCTGTCATAACTTAAATTTAGAAGAATAAATTACAGTGACATCAATAATATTTGCATTGATAGCTTACTTTCTAATATCCCCAAACCCTAAATCAGGATGCTATGCTGCTGCCCATTTTGTAAGTGCTGAAAGAGAAAACTCACAGTGTGAGCTCTGAAATCCTGAGCTGTCACTACCTGGTTTGAAATTCTTAGGAAAACACAAACGTCAGGTCTTGTACTGCTGACTGGAGCATCCTATTAGCATTACACAATGAAACAGAGCTTTAGCAAAAGTTCTCTTCATCTGGAGACACCCAGACCTTTCCCAGATAGGTGCATCTTTCTTGTCTGGGCTATAAAGCTACATTGCTGGAGATACTAATCCTTTTAGGCCTTGGATGATTTTTTTTTTTTTTTCCATTTTTGCAGAACTCTATGGCACATTTTGGCCATTAACTGTTCAACTTGCAGTCTGCACCTTCACTGAATGGAGAGGAGACCCATCTAGAACTGTCTCAGGGATGAACATGAATCACTTGAATCACCTAACATAAGAGGTCTTTGGTGTAGACATTTACCGGATGAATATCTACCTTGCATTAAGCTAATTTCTACATAAATTTGTACACCCTTTTCTGTCTCAGACATGGGAAAAGAGAAAGAAGAACACTTATTTAGGGTCAGGCCTCCACAGAATTCCTGAAAGTGAAGAGCAGGGATAGGAGAAAGCACCACCCTTAGGAGAGAATAGTTAATGTTGACTTTAGATGGATTTGTGAATACAAACAAGTCTTTCTTGTTCTTTGGGTATCCACACTGGCTGCACTTTCCTTCCTCCCATGTACCAGAATGTGTTGGTGAATGAAACTTTCATCAAGTTGCTGGATTTGGTGTGTCGAATGCGTCCTGAACTAGATGTCATCTATGGTGAGGTCGAAGGCCGTATCGCCAAGATCCCCAAGCAGCATCCAAATCCAATGAAAGTGATCCAGGTGAGCTACTGAATCTGGGTCCATAGCTCCACTGTACACGGTACACATGCTCCAAGCACTTGGAAGGATGGCGGTTAGAAGGGGTAAGCTTTCTTCCAAGTGGGAAATTCAGCCAAGTTCCTTCAGAAAAGTATATTCAAAAGAATGTCACAATGTTCACATATCTCAGTCCATGCAGACTGACTAAGCAAATCCTTTGATTTTAAGAAGCTAATACCTTAGGATCTGAGAGCACTGGGGAAAAAAAGAATCTGAATAGATGTTGCTTGCTGTGTAAAACAAACTGATTGATTTCAGGTCTGATCCAAATGAGTGTCCATCCTTATCACAAGCCCACTTCGATAGCTGACTTTCATAGAACGCTTCACTGACAACTGTGCTTCATAAAAGTAGTATATGATATTACAAGCAAATATTGTCCTAAATATAAATTACTTAGCTTTTCAAGGTCTGTAATTTCTATGGATAGCAGCAGATGGTGCTGTCCTCCTTGCTGGAAGGCAACACAAGCACTTGAGCATTGCTGAGTTAAGTAACACTTTTGCACTAGCAGCTTCACTGTGTTTCTTAGCTGCTGTGCGGGTTTTTAGGTAATTGGGTGACACTTGGCTGTAGATATGGATTCAGATGAACTTAAGCAAAAGCTTGGGCTGTTAGCTCACATCAAACAGTGCTGCTGTGCTTCACAGCAAGTGACGCTCACACTAGCATGCTTTGCAGTTTTTAACAGCTATTATGGTACTCAGATGTGTCCTCCTTCAAACAGATGGGAATTCAGAGAAGAGCAACTAAAGTGATCAGAGATCTGCGGGAGAGGACTGTCTCTGGATTTGACAGCCCAGCCAAGCAGTGGCTGCTGGGCTGAGCACTAAATAACCACATGCAATTATCAGAAGAAACAGGTTTACTACTGAGTCTCATTTCAAGGTAGGGGGAGAAGGAGGTATAACTGAGAAGAATGGGATTAACCTGAACAAAAGGATTTTATTCTGACAATAGGGTGGCTGCAGAAGGAGTTAAGGACTCATATATCACAGTGATGGGCTTAGTAAAGGCAGGGTGACAGATGGAAGAATAAAAGGAGAGCTGGAGGCAGGTATCAGTGGCTGTTTCATGGTTACGCCCATGTTTTATCTCTGCTTCTTTTAGAACTATTTGAAAGAGCACAACCTACGACTCTGGGACTTTTTTAGGAATATTGACAAAGATGGAAACATGAAGATCCCTGTGGCAGCCTTCCGGAGAGCCATGATGCAGGTGTGCCTCTGAAAGCATGGCCAGGATGCTCTTCTGGCAGGGTACTGCTCCAGGGAAACCTCTGCTGCAGCACAGCCACCAGCCAGCCTTGCTGGTGATGTCATTCAGGCTAAAAGGCTAAATTCACCCATCACAAAAGTTGAGCCCTGAATGAGACCAACAGAAATGCTATGATATCCAGTAAATACTGCAGATGGCATCAGTGATAAAGGATCAACTTTAGAATATCACAGAGGTCCGCTGTTGTATAGGACATACAGGATCTTGATAGATACTTATCTCTTACTGCTATGGGAAAGTGAAAAAGAAGCATTTAAACCCTTGCCTCTACACACTGAGTAGACTTCTCTTCCTGCCAAAACCACCATGGTGCTTGGGATCAGTAGCAATGGTCAGCCAGCCATGATACTCTTTTACAAAAAATTTTTTTTAAAAGTCTTATTTTAATCCTAAAAGAGTGGACTTGGCTCCCCACCACCAGTCTGGATTTTTTCCATCCCTTTCTCTGTGCACCAGGCCATCTGTTCATCTATTAAAAATGGCCAGGCCCCAGTCTGATATGGAGGATTTTTCTGCTTAAAAATACCCAGGTTTGCTAGCATTTCTCTTCTCCTCTTAGCAACCAAGCATCCCACTGGATCAAGTCCAAATTGGGGAACTAGTGCGCAAGCTAGACCGGAATCGGACAGGGATTGTGGACTATAGGTGAGTGAATGATTCCACTTACTGTCCTGGCTCGTCTTTCTTTTTTTTAATTTGGCTCAACAACAAATAAACACAACCTTATTCAGCTTTAGAGATGAAGGGACATACGTTTTTGACCAGTCTATTGGTTACCAAAGTAAAAGGTAGACGAAAGAACACCTTGTATTCTTAGAAGTTCTGTTGAGTCAAACTAGAAGTCAGTCTTATTCTTCTGTTTGATAAACTTGCTGTGAGAGTGCAGGGATCTCAGATCTGAATGGCATTTTCATTCATTCTTGTAAGCCTGTGTGAGAAGCATCAGCTCAATGCTGTCCTCCCCCTGAAATCAGGGTAAGATTTGCAAAGAGAGAGTATCTGTGCCTTCAGACCTTTTCTTCCATCCTCAGGGACTCTCAGTTTTCTTCCTGCTCTCTGATCCTTCTTCTTAGGAGACCTAGTTTTCCCTGGAAACCCACCTTCAAACTACAGAACTTTTCATTCTCTTGAAAGTGCCTCTTCCTTAGTGCCTGTAGCAATCATGTCCAAGTTCTGAGAGCCTCAGCAGTCAGCAGCAAACTCCTTGGAGGCTGTCAGTCGCTGCAGGCTAAACCGCTTGTCATTGGACCCAAAATTCCCCCTAGATTTTCAGTCAGTTCTGACATGTGACTCATCAGCTGAAAGCCCTACTAATCATGCCCAAATGGTCCCATCCCTCAGCACATACTGAAGGGTTTAAATATATGCTGTAGTCCAGGTTTAATGCTAGAAGCAATAGGTCAGTTTTGCAAATCTCTTCCCCTCTTAGCCTCCTAATGTTTTCAAAGAGAAGCTAATTGCTTTGTTAGGTCTGGTCTTTATTCCTTCGCATACATCGGTGCCATACTTAAAAGCATCCACACTCAGATGCTAGCTGGGCCTTAGCCTGGTTAATCTTGAATCAGAGGTTACATGGGGTTCCCAAGTACTTTAGGCACAAATTACGGAACTGTGGTTAAGTAGCAAGCAGATTAGGAACTGTTGAAACACAACAGCCAGCAAAGACTTCCTCTGGTGCCATTAATGTGACTGAGTTGGTATGTGGGGAAAAATAAATGGAGATATCTACTCCTTATCTAGCTTCCTAATGCATGCACTGTAGCATGTGTGGTAGTGTAATATTCTCCTAGTAGACAAGAGTCAGAAGAGTTGTGACCTTTTCTGTCCTTATCATTCCCACCTCGGGCTGTTTCCTCAAGGTCCTCTCAGCAGCTTTAAGATACCTGACAGGGAAGGTTCACTTTACTAGAATAATAGTTGTTCACCTCCTTCTTTTGAATCAGTCACTTAAAAGAACAGAAGCCAGCACAGAAAGCTGTGGAAGGGGAAATCAAGGAGGAAGAGGAGGAAGAGAAGGAAGAGCCATAAAAATGAAGCAAGGAGGCAGGTCAGACGATGAAAGATTGTATGAAAAACACTGGAAGAAAGCTCAGAGTGGCCCTGGGCTTGGGGAGACCCAACATGGGGGAGCTCTGATAGTCTAAGTTGTTGAATGTTGAAATAAAGTTGATGTTCTACTACACAGTAGGTGTCTATATAGTCTGGTCCTTTTGGTTAGGGAAAGATTGGTCCTTTGGACCTGGTTACCAAATCTGTCTTACTCTGTATGCTGACAATGCTGAACTTATTTGCAAAGACGGAGACAAAAAGTGGGAATTAGGAAACTAAGGCACTCATATATTGTTGTTATCCCCTTTTGAGGGAAAGCACATGGACAAAGACTGAAGCAAGTCACCTGTGGACACCCCCTACCAGACTTAGCAGTTCTGACACAGGGACCTTTGCAAGAGGAGAAAAATAAATTTAACGAGAAACTACAGCTCGTGTTGCTTTAAAAGTTATGGGTAACAGGAATTTTATTTATTATCTTCATGGGAAAAAACATGCTAGAAGGATGGAAGCCATAACAGATTTTAAATGGCTTAGATACTGAACTGCTTTTTTAAAACCAAGATTTAAAAAAAAAAAATTCAACAACTCTTAAGAAGGAATGAAAGCCTTGCATATATCAATATTTATAAATAAACAGAATTTAGAAAATGTAAGCATATACAGATGAGCAGATCTACAGGAAGTACATTTTACCACGTGAGCGACTGCCAATGTAGACTTCACCAAGAACCTTGGAGAACTGGGAAATGTTGGCGACTTTGGGAATACCAGCCTTCAGTGGAAAGGAAAAGAAGCAGCCGGTTACCATCTGGTAAGTCTCTTTCCCAGCAGAATTCCCACATGGAAAAAAAATCTTTGAATTAGAGTTCAGGTGGCTCCAGTGCCTCATCAGAGGTCCACATGACTGTTGACATGGATGGCATCGGTATGACTGCTCGGTAGTCATCTTCAGTAGGCTTTACCTCATTACCCCAGCAGGTCTGTGTCCTCCGATGCGTGTGATTCTTCCAGAATCTCCTTCGATTGCAGTCAGTGCCCTCTTCGCACAGGGAATATGCGGGGTTTGAAATGAGGAATCAGAGCAGCAGAGAGCATTTGAGAGGTTGGGTAGTTTGTACGCGCAGGGGCATAATCCTGGGGTTTTCTGTCCCAATCATTCCTAGAACATAATTAGCTTTTCTTGACTGTTCCTAAGCACGGGGGTATGTTTCCAGGGAAGTGTACACCAAACCTGCAGGATCTTACTCCTGAATGCCAGGGGAGGGCGGGGAGTGGATGCCCCTCGTGGCGCAGTTTGAGCTCGCTTACTCCGAAGGCAGACCTACTATTCCTCCGAAGGTAGACCTACTATTCCTCCGAAGGCGGACCTACTATTCCTCCAAAGGCAGACCTACTATTCCTCTGAAGGCGGACCTGCTATTCCTCCGGATGTGGACCTACTATTCCTCCGAAGGCAGACCTACTACTCCTCCGAAAGCAGACCTACTATTCCTCCGAAGGCAGACCTACTATTCCTCCGAAGGCGGACCTACTAGCGTACTGCTCCCGTGAGCGGAGCGGGTGCTCCTGCCGCACGGGGCTCGGCTGGCGCCCAGGTGGCTCCTGTGGCTGTGGCTGGGTGGCAGGGCCCGGCCAGGCCCTGAGGTGTCAGGGCAACCCTGGCGGTGCCTGGCCAGAGGGGCTGCTGCCCACGGCGGGGGACATGCTGCCACCCGCCCCCTCCCCTCCCTGCAGGAACTGAACCCCCCCGGGACCCACCGGCTTTGCCCGGAGCCTGCTTGCAGCTCCTCTTCCGAAAACGACTTTGTTGCTGCTTTCCTGAGAAGGACTACCAGCAGGAGCATCATTTCAACTGTTGTAAGACGTCCCTCTGCTGCCCTGCTCCGGAGGCTGTGGCTTGGCCAGCAGCCACGTGGGACTCCCTGCATCGGTGGTTGAGGGGCCGGAGATACCTGACAATTGGTCCCGACCCATGCGGCAACTCTGACATCGCTCGCTGGCCCGCGCTTGCCGCGTGTACTGAGAGGTTTCACTGCTGCAGGGCGGTTTTAGCACCTCTTGGATCCACTGAAGCTAGTGCACATCAGTGTAGTTATTCCTCACTTCTGGAGGGGGCTGTTGTTTAAAACAGGTCATCTTCTAGGATGTTCTTCGGCAGCTCCACGCCTGTTGACCAAGCGCTCACCGTTCACTGGCTATACCAATGTAAAGTATCTATGCCTCTCTCTCCCTCAGCCCCAAGAAATCCTTTTTTGAGTCTTTTTTTAAGCTTAAGAGGCATACGATGTAAATACCAACACATGCAGGCTGAGAATAAGGCCGGGCAGCTGGGAACACCTAATGGTTTTATATCTGTACAAAAAAAAAGAGGGGGTGGGGTTTGGGCATGACCGGCAACTATTGTTACCTGACAGACAACAAGATTTACAGCACCCCAGATTATCCTCAGAAATGAGCCTCTTGGCTTATCAGCAGGCAGATGCTCTATGGTCAGTTAAGCTGGATCAGGGGTGAGAAGTTTCTCCCTTGTTTCCAGACTGGAAGAGAGAACAATGGGGTCTCAGGGTAGCCGATGGCAGAAAGTGAAGGTCATGCTTCACTGTCCCTACAGCACTGTGTTTGCTCTGCAGAAGAGGGTGCACTTTGGAGTGGAGGAGTAGCACGTATATACTGTTAAATACCTTTGTCTTTTCTTCCCACAGTGTCTTGGGTTTGTGTTGCATATATTACACATGCATCTTTATCTCACACAGAGTGCTGTTGTGTATTAGTCACGCATTACTATTCCACTCAGGTTTTCACAGAATGGGCTGCCCAACTAAACTGATTTGTGCCGTTATCACCCTTAAGATTCTAGATAAGCTACAGCCATCAAAAATCTTCTGTAAGAAAACAACATAATCAAATAGAGATGGGTACTGGCCTGCAGCAGGTGTGGATTTTATTTATTTGAGTGTCCACTTAAACTCCAGACTCAACAATGATGCGGCAGCTAGATTGTACCTTTACACCAGGAAAAGCCTACAGGGTGATTGGATGGTTTCTTTCAGCTGAAGAGTTTGAGCCCAAATTTCCATTCCAGAAAGGCTTGATAAATAAAAACTATCTACTTTGCCAAACACAAAATCAAAAGAGATTGGATCTCTGGGAAAGAACTGGATGCAGCCTTCTGTCCTACTACGTGGCCTGATGCAACTAAAATACTAGCAAAAAACTGGGAGTGCTAGTGAAAATTTTAGTTCTCCAAATTCACATGCAAGCAGCGTGGTGGAGGGATGTAGTTGCAGTTTGTATTGTTGCAGAGTCTCTCTGAGCACTCTCAGATCAATAAAGCTTTTTTCAGCTTGGTGGCAGCATTTGTCCCCTTGCCGGGAATTCAGGGATAAACTGTGGTAGATAACTGAGCAGGGGCGATCAGGGAGTGGAACATGAATTGCTCTGCTGATCCTGCACCTGTGAAATGGCGCAGAAGGAAATGGTTTGGCCAGCATAAATTAAGGCAGCTCTGAGACTCATCTAACATACCTCAGGAATTCAGCCTGCCAGCACAAAATTAGACAGTGCGGAAAGCTGGCTAAACATAATCTCTGTATCTTCCATGGCTTGTGAGAGTGACACAGACGAGTGACATTGTCAGATCTCTTCAATATTAGAAAGAAAAGAACACTGTTTAAGTAATAGGGTTTGAAAACACAGCATGCACCAGAGTATTTAATGTGTTAGCTAGTTTAGATGAACCTTTAGATCTCTTGCAGGGGAAATCATCGTTTTGTTGTGGATCTTATCCAGCAGAATGAGACCCAGTTCAGACTGATTTCCTAGGTGCCACCGCAATGCTTAGGACAACATATCATTGCATTAAAAAAGACATCACTAATCAGAATCTCTGGAAATCTCAAAGTATAAAGACTAACATTATATGCCAAACTATCTCAGCTTGTTCATGTTGAAGATCTTTGATCTGTCTAGCTGAACTGGCCTAAAGGTTTTTGGCTTTACTTTCAAAGGAGAAATCTCATGGGCTGCCAAAGTGGGTACACTGATACTAGTCTTCATCTTTTAAACTTGCATCAATGGTTCTTTGTTCCAGTGGCCTCCCATCCATATAATGAGTATATCAAAAGGTGTTCAGTGTATGTCAGTGGACATATGGCTTAAGCAAAGGGCCATCCTGCAGCCATGCACAAAATCAAGCATTATGGGACTGGGAGCATGCCATGCACAATGTACTGGTCAGTGCAACTGAGATGCTTAAGTCCCTGTCCATTCATCCACCAAGTAAAACCTCACCTAGATCTGTCACAGCAATGTTATAGAATCTAAAGAAATGATGAAGTAGAAGTTTGCAAGGACAAAATTTAATTTTTTCAGCATGAGCCAGTGGATTTGGGTCAATTGACTGATGCTAATGGTTTTTACAAGACACGGGAAAAGGTTAAGATCAGAATCATAGAATCATAGAATCGTTTAGGTTGGACAAGACATTTAAGATCGTTGAGTCCAACACCATCATGCCCACTAAACCATGTCCTGAAGAGCCTCATCTACACGTTTTTAGAACACCTCCAGGGATGACGACACCACCACTTCCCCAGGCAGCCTGATCCAATGCCTGACAACCCTTTCAGTACAGAAATTTTTCCTAATATCCAATCTAAACTGTCCCTGGCACAACTTGGGGCCATTTCCTTTCATCCTAAATAATGGACATCTCGGTTCTTGAAAACATATGTTATAGTTGTTCTTTTCTATCTAGCTATGGGATCTATCAACAATACTGAAGCTATTTCATTGTCTCTTAATCCAGAGAGTCCCACCAAAGAATTGTATTGTGAATTTGGCCCACCAGAAGAATGCAATCAATCCATAGTTCATTCCTTGCTACCCTCTTTCTTGCAGACTGCTGAAGTGGCAGCCAGACACATGCCACAGGCTGGACAGCTTGCTCTGGTAGCCTTCTCTGTTCCAGACACTTC